ATACAAGCATATAATTGCAAGAAGTAAACCATGTCCATGTATATATATCTATAATATAATGAAAACGGAATTGAAAATATAGAATGATAGATAGACAAGTAGTCGTAGACATGAATCATTGGAGTTATCGTTGAAGATTTGCCTCCCAAACGACTTGTCACTTGTCAGCATACAATCCATTAAACATGAAAATAGTAAGAATTATATATTAGTTCTGATTCTTTCAAAAAAAAAAAAAATATTAGTTCTGATTTATTTTTAAAATATTATTACACATACTTTTTTATTCAATAACGTAACTAGGACTTTATCTTTTGGAGGATTCTTCAGACAATATTAAGTCTATTTTGGTGGTTGATTGTATGGGTGTAAATGAATCAACTTGTTCGATCGTGTGCTATTCGTTATTCATTCAATTAAACTTGAATTGATTTCAGTTAAATTCCAACTCAAGACAACTTGTTAACTAATTAAGTTGGATTTAATTTTTTATTTATTTTTTATTCGTGACTTGTGAAGTTACTTGTGAGATTCAAACTGAACTCATACTCTATTCGCAGCACACATACAAACTTGAGCATGCCTAGATTCAAATTCAGCTCGCCTCACATGCATCCCTAGCTAACTAAGTAACGTGACTGATACTTTTATTTTATTTATTACCGAGTACTTCTCAATAAGTTAATTAATCATTAATTTATAAAAATAATTTTTTTTTACCTAATTAATATAGATCACGTAATAAAGTATATGAATCAAATAACATTATATATATATATATATATATATATATATATATATAAAAGGTTTGTAGCTTGGGATCAGAATTAGAACACGTATAGATATCATGGACCGACCAATAAATCATGCTAAACCCAAAATGGTTTTGCACTACCAACTTTTGCCTGTTGAAATTTGTCGTCAGCGTGTCAGTGTAGTATTTTTGTAACTCCGTGAATTGAATGACTTTGTTCCGTAATCCTTTCTAAACCAAAAATAAAATATAATGCTTCCTATCTTATTATTAAGTGAAATAAATCTAATCATGCCCCAAAAAGATTTATTAAGTGTATGAAACATAATTTTCATATTTATTACGTTACAAAAGCACTAGGGGCAAGCTAGTGTGTGAGAGCTCCTAGCAGGTGTGTTTAATGTTTTTTTTTTCTTTTCTCAAATTTCTTTTTTCTTTTTCTCTCTATTTTTATTTTCCCTCGTGACACAAATTTTGGAATTTTGGATTGTTGGGTTGCTATTATTCAAAAACAATTTTGGGTTAATATAACAATATTTTTTTCCAGGTTTTTTCAAAAAGTAAGAAAAAACACACCTAGTGCATACAACGCATACCGATTGAAGAATTTTGGTTAACGGTTAATTCAGTTAAAAAATATTGGTTAATCGAAATTATATATATATATATATATATATATATATATTCTTTGGTTAACTATTATTTATACTTACACTTTTTAAAATTTGTGCTTTTATATTTATAGTGTTGTTATTGTATTGTTTTTGTATATTTTTGTTTTAGATTTATTATTATAGGTATTGATCTTTTTTGAAAGTATTATAGGTATTGATCTAATTGGCAATAATAGGTATAGTAATTGGTAATGATCATTTTTATTTATAATTTCAAGGATTTAAAAATTTAGCTAAAAAAAACTTCAATTAAAATTAATTCAGTAATAAAACCTGGTTTCGATTAATTAACGATTAAATCTTTAAAAATTTTAGTTAATTCAGTTCGGTTAACTGAATTCACACCTCTAACAAAGTAACAAGCATATGCACTGCATGATTATCAAAAGCGTTAGGGGGTCAAATAACTTAACAAAAACTCAAAAGCAAATCTCAAACAAATAATTTTGCTCTAACATAAATATCAAAGCGATAAAAATGAATAATTCAATCGATTTCTCGTGAATGGTGAAGAAGCTAAGGCCCTCGTGAGCCTACTACCTCTTCGTCCTCTTTGCTAACCTTATCCTATTTTCTTTTGGGTGAGACTGACTTCTCATTTTTTTCATTTAATACATACTGATACCGTACGTACTTCACCACCACCATGCATGCATGCATGCATGAGTTATTATTAGAACAATACGACGAGCGGGCAGAGGGAGTCTCGTGTTAACTTTGATAACAACAGTTTCAACTCCGACCATTCATACTTTTGATGAATTTAATGTACAATATTTCGTTGATATATAACCCTGCAAAGCTTGGAAAAATGTGTGGTTGATACTGTCGATCATCCATCGATATAATTAACTTATTTTGTGTGACGAGATTTTACATCTATCTTGTGTAATTTATAATGTTTCGATCTCTTTATCTCTCTCTCTCTCTCTCTCTCTCTATATATATATATATATATATATATATATATATATATATATATATTGCAAGGTTTTTGAGAAATGTAATTGGTTGATATTGTCGGTGTAATTAATTAACTTATTTTGTGAGTTGAGATTCAATGTGTAGTGTAGTTTATAATGTATAATTATTTTCTGATGAGTTGAGGAGTGAGGACTGACCAGGTCTCGACTCATGTGCTTAAAAAAAAAAATAGTGATTGAGTTATATATATGTCAAATGTATTCACCAATTTTCTATGGTCAATACATAATACATAGGCCCTGTTTGGTAAAATAGCTGTTAGCTGATTGTGTTAATTAGAGAGCATAAATAGTTGATAACATTAGCTGATTGTAAAAAAAGTGTTTGATAAATTAACTGTTAGCTGATAGCTGTTTAGTATAATTTCTTTTCTCAAAAAGCTAATTGAAAAAGTTGCTTGGAGTAACTTTTTGAATTTTAGCCTTTTGAAGTTGTAAAACGCTAATTAACCAAACATTTATATTGATATTTTAACTAAATCAAACAATTAACAGTGGTTAAATAAGTCAAAATTGACCTATAGACTAATTTTTTACCAAACAGGGCCATAATAAATTAAAAACAAAAATCTAGCAAGGGCCGCCACATTTTCTTCTTCTCCTTCTAAATATTCCTCCGATCCTAACCATCTCCTCTTTTTTTTTTTTTTTTTTTTTTTTTCATAGTCTTTCTTCAATATATAAGAGTAGGCATTTTTTAAGGTTTCAAAATGTTACGACCATTTTTAATAGGTGATCGAAATTTTGAATCACTTTTGATAGGTGGTAAAAGTTTTGACCATTCAAATATGGTAAAAACTGTTTAAAATATCTCTACAATTATAAATTATTATTAATAATATCCCATATAGTAATGCATGATATATATTGATTTATAATAATAATAATAATAAGTCTGCAATCTATCTGAAGATAGATGATGACTGAAGTGAAACCTATCTTTTAACCCTAACAGGGCGTTTGATTAGAGGGATTTTAAATTCCTTTCTCACTTAATTCCCACCTAATTCCAAAGGCCATTAAATACCGTAGTTTGGTTGGAGGAAATTGCAATTCCATAGAATTGCAACTCTCCCATTTTCATGGAATTAAAATCCCATGTCCCTCTTGGGATTTTAATTCCTGGGAAAAAAAGATAATGATGAGTCAAAATTACCTCTTTCTTTTAACCTAAAATTAATGTCTAACAACAATAATGAACATTTTTGACTTTATACTACTTATTCCCTTTCAATTCCCATGTATACCAAACATTGGAATTGAAATTTCCAGTAATTCTATTCCTGTCAACCAAACACTGGAATTTAAATTCCCACTTTAATCCCAGTAATTCAACTCCCATGGAATTACAATTCATTTCCCACATAATTCATCCCCTCCAACCAAACGCCCTGTAAATGGTAAAAGACTAAGGAGGTAAATTAGCTCATATTATTTATATAGCTGATAGTCTCAAACTAAAAAGGTCAATAAGTAATTTTTAAATGAGTAAATACCCAAAATGGTCCCTCGACTATAGCTAAATTCACAAATTGGTCATTGACTTTCAATTTTAACCAATTAAGTCCTTAACTTTGTAATTTTAACACAATTTGGTCCTCTGTCTATTTGACCGTTTGTTGACTGTGATTTTTGAGAATATATATGTAATTTCATGGTCCATCGTCAGTTTTTTAAGGTTCTGGTTGCATTTTCAGACCGCATTGTTACATTTGAATCCACTGCCGAACGCAATCTACCAAATCCGGTTGTCTTTCTTCATCCTCCCTTTGGATTCAATGTAGTTGAGTTCGTACCAGAGCGAAGAAGACGACGTGCTTCCGAACAAGTGCAACGTCATCCTGGAGGTCTCCACGTGCTCCGACGAGAGCTGAAGGTTCTTCTGGAGATCGTCGATCACGGTCAACAAACGGTCAAATAGATGGAGGACCAAATCGTGTCAAAATTACAAAATTAAGGACTTAATTGGTTGAAATTGAAAGTCGATGACTAATTTGTAAATTTGACTATAGTCGAGGGACCATTTTGAGTATTTGCTCTTTTTAAATGGAGTTAAACTTAGACAAAACTTTTTATTACTTTTTGTCAGTGAGTGGGGAGAGGGAGGAGAGGAAAAAAAAAAGATAAATGATAAGGAAAAACAAAAAGAAAGAAAAACAATGGTGTCAAGTAAAATAAGTAAAAAAAAAAAAAAAGTAAATTTACGCGGCGCTAGTTGGGTACTCATAATGTGCTAAACATGCACCAGGAGTCTGTACAGTAACTCAAATGTTGTACGGATCTATCCATTTTGAACATAATTTCAACACTACTATCGTCAAGATTTGAACTTTAATCTTTTTTATAGATACTGCATACTAAATCAGTAGTTAACGAAGCGTGTGCGAGTCCGGTATACTATACTTGATAATAGGGAATTAGGGAGTATGATGGGGGCTTTAGAACTTTTCTTAAGTTAAAAGAGATTAGCTAGCTAGGGAAGTGGGAGTGATTAATTAATGTTTGACCGGTGGGAGATTAATGTCGGAAGGCGTTGCATGGTATATTAGATAGAATTCAAAATAGTCACAGGCGGATGTGGAAAGCACACTTCCCACTTCCCATTCCAATGCCCGCTTCCTACCTCTCCCTCCCCACCCGCCCAAAGGGGCCACTCTCCTTCTCTGTTTTTTCTGTCTCTCTCTCTCTCTCTCTCTCTCTCTCTCTCTCTCTCTCTCTCTCTCTCTTTCTTGTTCTCTGTTTGGGAATCTGTTTCTCTGCAGCTACATACAAACTAAGCATTAAGCAACACCCCTTCCTAAGAGCATAGGGAAAGGTTCAAGAAAACAGTGGGCAAACACTCCCTCCCTCTTTGCTCATGCATTATTTCTTCACCTATTAACTCCTTCATTCATTTGCCTTGCTTAAATTGTAAGTCCAAGTTCTGGGCTTTCTTCTTCTTGCTGTTCTTTATTGCAGTGTATGTATGTATGTATGCATCCTCCTCAAAAAGCTTCTGCCTTTGCTCTCCCCATCCTTTTCTTGATTCACTTTCATGCATTTCATTATATTCCCAGATGGTCTTGGGGTTTTTTGTAGTAGTATGTTCATTTGTATTTACATCTCTTTTGTCTCTTTCTTTCTCCCCCATTTTCTTGTCTTTTTCTAGCATTTGAAGATCTCAAATTGGTCTTTTTTTTGGTGGGTTTGTTTGTTTGTGGATGGTTTGAATCATAGTCTGACCAAAATTCCCTCTCCCTTTTGGGAAAATTGGATCTTCAACAAGGATTATACTCCAAAGTTTGGATTTTTATTAGTGTTCTGGAAATGGGAAACTTTGATCATCTGCTACCATGCACCTTTATCACTTGTCTGAGAAATGTTTACACTATTAAACTTGGGAGCTAACCTGTGATTTAGCTTTGGTGTTGCATAAAAAAAAATGAGACTATGCATATATTGGTAATCTGTGTTGAAAGTTTTTGCCTTTTATGAGTTTCTTCAGGGAATGATTCACTTGTTCTTGTGCCATGGATTTTGTTATTGATTATTATTGTGTTGAAAAATTACAAATTTTTATCAGAATATAACATCCATATATCTTTGTGTGGATTATACACTAAGAGATCTATGAAGTGTGCTTATTAAAAAGATCCAATTGTTTTTGCAGACTGATTGGATGTGAAGTGGCCATTATATTTTTCACTCTCAATGGCTGCCTGAAAAGAATGCCGGTTTAGCAATGCTTTGCACTGCAAATGATTTATTGGGTTGGAAGGATTTTCCCAAGGGGCTTAGTGTTCTCCTCCTTGATGAGGACAGCAATTCTGCTGCTAAGATGAAAACGAAACTCGAGGAAATGGACTATATAGGTAAAATAGCATAATTTCCGATTTTCCTAATCTAGAGATACTTAGGGCCCGTTTACTAACTGAAAACATTATTTTCAGTTGTCAAAATGGAAAACTGTGCTAGTAAACATGTTTTCTGTTTTCTGTTCTCCAAAATTTCCAGTTAGTAAACGAACCCTTAACCTTTCTGTCCCGGATTCGTTAACTTTTGTAGTTTCCATAATGTTGCTACTATTAGCCTTAATCTGGATAGTAAAGATAGTCCGAGTTTACGTTCTGTTATTCAAGAATCGAGATTTATTCAAAAGACGTTACATGTTTATGAAGTAATAAGTGAACTATAACTCTGTTATGCAGTTTCAACGTTCCAAAACGAGAACGAAGCTCTGTTAGCAATCGCAAGCAAATCGGTGGAATTTCACGTTGCTATTGTGGAGGTACTAATTTTTTACTCACTCCAACGTTTTGTATAATTGCAAAATCAAAACCCGTGTGATTTTGATATTCACTTTCGAAAAGGTTTTGACGAATAGTGGAACTAAAATTATTGTGCTCGAGACCTGTATCTTTTGCCACTCTCGATTTGGAAGTGACTTCTAAAAATGTAATGAGTACTGCTTTTACTTTTTGGCTGTCTTTTGCCTCTGAAATGCTGCCATGTCGAACCCCACTTATCAATTCAACTTTAGGGTTTTAACTTGTGGATAAAATTTTGAAAAGCGGGACTTGTGTAAATTGCTGTCTTTTTACCTGAAACTGTTGATTTTTGCAGGTTAATATTAGCAACAGCAATGAGGTATTTAAATTTCTGGAAATCGTTAAAGATTTGCCCACAATACGTAAGTCATTGACATGATTGTATATAATGCTACTGCAAATTCTGTTGTGCTTCTAATTGTATTAACCAAATAAATTCTTCGGGGGGCTATCTTGATCTCTTAATTGTTCTAACATCATGTTTCGTGTTCTTATTGTAGTGGTGTCGAATGTCTACTGCCTTAACACCATGATGAAGTGCATAGCGGTGAGAGATTATTTGCTCAAATTCATTGTTTGATCATTTTTCGTTTTTACGTTCAAGAGGAGAAACATTGAGCAATAGTCATTGCAAAAAGTTTAACAATATTCGAGATCATTTGAAGCATGTGTGCTCCATCTCAACTAAAAGCTTAAGCTGATAGTTGGATTGCAACCCCTCACGTGTGGGGGCTGATTACTTTTGATGGCTCCAAGCAACACATGAACCAAATTGAAGCATGTGCTCCATCTTAACTAAAAGTTTAAGCTGATAGTTGGATTGCACATTTATGTTTATATACTATAGTCAGACTAATGAGTATCTCTTAATTATTTTGCAGCTCGGTGCGGTTGAGTTTCTTCAGAAACCGCTATCAGATGACAAACTACGAAATATTTGGCAGCATGTTGTTCACAAGGTTTGTTCGTTTTGAACGCCTAATGTTTTCGATTTGTTGCCTCGTTTTATGGAAAGCGTGCCCTGAGCTTATTGTCTAAACAGGCATTCAATGCAGGAGGAAAGGATGTCGAATCGCTTAAACCCGTCAAAGAATCTTTAGTTTCAATGTTGCAGCTACGATCAACGAAGAACGAAGAAGCAAATACAGTGAACTCCGACGAAACTGAACAATCAACGTCGGTCCAGGAAAACAACCGGGACACGTTATCAGTATGTGATAAATACCCGGCTCCTTCGACTCCACAACTGAAACAATGTGGGAGGTCGCTTGACGATGGTGAATGTCACGATCAAACTAACCTCTCAATGGAACAGGATAGTGTGGAGCACGATGGAGAATCTAAATCTGTCGAAACTACTTATTGCAATTCTGTTTCTGAAACTATTCCCGCGATTAATCCACCCGTTATCAAGCAGGAACGAGAATCGAGCCCTGAACAGGCGGGGAAGAACGGTAATTCTACTTGTTCGGAGAGTAAGGATGTTCGTGCCAACGCCAACAGTGAGTGCCGTGATCCTAAAAAACCGTCCGGTGTCAATAGTTCAACCGGGACAAAAGCTAATAAAAAGAAAGTAAAGGTAAGATGCTTATCAATTTGTACATCAAGTAAGTGGCAGTAATACTCTGCACTCTTCAGTCACACATTGATAAAATAAGAAAGAATATATGGGTTCATAAAGCTATGGGTTAGACTAGCTAATTAGTTGGATTCAATCTTTTAGTGTGGTTTGGCCCATGTGCATTATATCTGGTGTTTGGTTGGTCAGGTAGACTGGACACCGGAACTACACAAGAAGTTTGTACAAGCGGTGGAACAACTTGGTCTCGATCAAGCCATTCCTTCACGAATTCTCGAAATGATGAAAGTTGAAGGTTTGACGAGGCACAACATAGCCAGCCATCTTCAGGTATTTCGACATCTATACTTATATTACATGCTCAAAACTCTTTGTTCTTGGAGTAAAAATATTCTTCTCGGGGGTTTTCGAAACAGAAGTACAGAATGCACCGCAGGCAAATATTACCAAAAGAAGACGAATGGAGATGGCCTTTATCGAGAGATTCAACACAAAGGAGTTGTTATCCACGTAAACCCGTAATGGCCATCCCACAGTATCATTCTGCACCCCCCGTCGTCCCAGCTGGTCAGTTCTATTCCGCCTGGGCGCATCCAGGCAGCTATCCCGGGGCCCATGTGTGGGGCTCACCTTACCACTATCCCGGATGGCAGCCTACAGACGATTGGAACTGGAAGTCCAACACAGGGGTAAGGTTAATCTTCCTCGAGAGTTGCATCTATCAGTTCATATTAACCTTAAATTATTGTCGTGATAGTTAAATATGCATGGCTCGAGACACATATTTACAACATTAACTGAAAAACAATTGTGTTTTTTAAGGTTTATGCCCAAGCATGGGGCTGCCCCGTTATGCCACCACCTCAGGGATCATATCCAACATATCCTCAGGTACACTTTACACAATAAAACCGATTGATTTGGATGATTTTTTTTTTATTTTTTTATTATTATAACACATTCGTTAGATATTGCAGAACACCTCAGGGCATCACAGAAGTGGTGGAGTGCAAGATAGATACAACATGCTAGAAAAAACATATGATTTTCAGCCAGTAAGTTTTTGGCATTCGATATTTCTTGTGTCATTTAAATTAGACGAGACTCAAATTGCAGAATCCCGATTACACTTTTTGTGCGGACCAAATGGTTATTAGATTATTTCGTTTTGTTTTTGCAGGCAGAAGAGTTGATTGACAAAGTTGTGAAGGAGGCGATAAACAATCCATGGCTGCCCCTTCCTTTGGGGCTAAAGCCTCCCTCCACTGACAGTGTCCTCAATGAGCTTTCTAAACAAGGCATCTCCACTATCCCTCCACAAACCAACGGCTCAGATTTGCGCTGACATGGCTACAAATTAAACTCCTGTGCCAAAAATGCAAACTTGGGCATGCAGCATGCTCCAAACCCAGAATCAAGAACTGGCCTGGATCCAAATCTGATGATCAGAGAGGAATTGGAAGATCCACCATTCAAAATTCTTGTAAATAAACCATCTTTTCGAGCCCCCTTTTAGCCCAATTGGAATGAAGATGTAATAATGCTTTGGTTGATCTTTGGGCAGATCTGGGGATGACATTCATCAATAAATAAATAAATAAATAATTTCTGATCTGATCTCAAGCAATATATGTTTTGAGTTTTAGTTTTGTGGATTGAGAAACATATATACATTGGAAAACCTTATTTTATATAGGATTTAACAGCACTCCATAATTAGGTACAGTAATGCTAGATTTTTCTTATTCTAAGCAGAATGTTACAATAAGCCAGTCTTATGACCCTAATCGATCAAATTTTTTTAACTACCCCTCCCTCACCGAAAACCCTAAATTTTCAACCACCGGACCTAGGGTTTTCGGTGGGGAATGACCTCGCTCTCTGGTGTCCGGCCTACTAGAAACCCTAGTATAGGCGGTTTCCAACCCGGCCACCACCAGAAACCCTAGGCCGGTTTCCAGTGAGAAATGAGTATTCGGGTACCACCAAACATTTCTTGGAAGGCATCAATGACATCCTCTTCTTCCATTCCTAGTTCATCTGGGGTATCACAAGCCTGGACTCGTTTGCCGTCGAAGAAGAAACGAGTGGCCTCGAATTCTTTGTCTTCCAGTTTGCAGTACCCAACCAAGACAGTCTGCAATGCTTCATTTCTCCTGATTGTGAAGTAGTGATCACGCTGGTTTTGCATCTGAACCTTCAGTTCTATATAGCTGCCATTTTCTGTTTTTACAGTCCCCACCATTTCTGTGATCTCCTCAGTGTAAATTAAAAATGGATCGATCGATCTTTTGCTCTTACTTGAAGTTAGTTGGAGATGAGATCTTACTGCCATACTTATATAGGAGTGTATGTAGTGAAGGCTGTGGTACGGTTCTAGCTTTCCATATTCCAGTTTTGAGTGTAGTGATTAGTGAAGTGGTTTTTCATATTCCTACTTTCTGATCATTACTTCAAAATTTTAGAATTCCAAGCTTCATTGTCCCAAAATGTTGAATCACCAACCCTAAGGCCCCCACACTCCGACTTCCGAGCTTCATTGTCCCAAAATGTTAAATCCCCAACCCTAAGGCTTCCACACTCCGCCCCGACCAAGCATGTAAATCGGGCCAAATGTCGGTGCGCACTGACCGACGACATACTCCCGTGTAATAATTATAATTTGTAACTTCACAAAGTGCAAATCACACATGAGAGGGAATTGAAATCGAATTTGATCGAGAGGCTGTACTGTTGACAATAAAATCTAAATCGAAATCGAATTTGATTGAGAGGATGTACTGTTGACAATAAAATCTAATGAAACACAGAGAGTCAATAGCACCTCCAGACTCGATCTCACAACCTCCCAGTACGGGAGTTCAACTTGATACCATTGGATCACAAGTTTTCTATAAATTTCAAGTTTCCTATAACTTTCTTACTGTTAAATAATTTAAAATGTGTCTGCACAAGTAGATAACTCAATCTGAAGGGTTTCTTATGGGCAACCAGCACCAACCTTTTTATTTATAAGAGACTTTCGAGTCGCCGTGATTTATCCATTCACAATCTTGTCTCTAGGGCAAAAGAATTTCGCTTTGAGGGTGTGGCAATTCAGAAATGTTGGAATTACAAGTTATGAAGAGATAGCTAGAGTGAGAGAATGGTTGAATTGAAGTCAAAAAACCAAATGTGATGATTTTGATGATTGTAGAAATTTGAATAACTGAGATACATTGTACAGACATGCATGGTGTATATATATATATATATCAACCATGAAACTAAGGCAGGGCAGTTAGTGGAAGTAGAATCTCAGTGATCTTCTTCTTCACAAAACTTGGTGTACTCTTTTGGGTCCATCAGGGATCCCAGTTCTGATGCATTGCTTGGTTTTACCTTGATCATCCATCCATCCTCATATGGGCTCGAATTGATCTTCATTATGCAACCACACCCCAAATGTAAGTAAAACATGCATAAAAACACCATATATATGTCAATTAGTATTTCAATACATATCTTTTTGAGTGACAAGAGGAACTCATAGTTACTAGTGCACCGGGTAAACCTCGTTTTGTGACCTTAGTCAAGACAGAATCACAAGGTAAACTAGTCTAGATTGTCTATAGCTGACCAACTTAAACCAAGAAGGCCAATAGATTAATATTGCTCCCACTGGAAGTCAAACTTGTAACATTATGATTAATTACCGAGTCAACAGTATGACTAACTTGGTTGAGCTTGCCTCTTTGAGAGGGTACAGGATAAATCTCGTTTAATCTCAACCCTAACTGACAAATGACTTCAAAGAGGTAAACCAGCTTAGATTAGCCTAGATCATTTATAGCTGACTAGCTCAAATCAAGAAGGTCACTAGGCCGCTTTCACTGAGAGTGACCGTAGCCGTAGGGTTGCCCCTTGAGAGGGCACTGGGTAACCTCGCCTTGTGACCATAACCGGCTCACATCTAGAAGGCTGATAGGCTAATTTGACTATGAGTCAAACTTGTAATTTACCTAGAAGACTGATGGACTGCGAGTCAAACTTGTAATTTTGTGGTTACCAAATCGATTATCTGACTAATTTGACTACATTACCCCTTGAGAGGTGCATGGACTCATGAAATAACAAGGGAATTGAATTACCACTCCGGGTCCCTCGGTGAGCTTAGCATTGACCTCCACAACCTCCCCTGAGATTGGAGAGTTCACATCACTTGTGGCTTTCACACTCTCCACAGCCCCAAAACCGCTGCCTTGTTTAACAGCAGTACCCACTTCTGGCAGCTCCACAAACACCACTTCTCCAAGGTGGTCCTGAAAATACCCAAACTCGTTTACTAACGGAAGAAATTCTTAATTTTTACAAACACGTTTACTCGTGCTTTTAGAAAACAGAAAACAGAAAACAGAAAACGAGAATACCTGAGCATGATCAGTGATGCCAATGGTGGCAACGGAGCCCTCACTCTTCACCCATTCATGTGACTTTGCATATTTTAGCCCCTCCAACACTGTAAACACAAGCCCACATTTTCATTCACTTCAGGTATGCTATGCATAAATTCTAATTTTTATAAGGATGACAATGAAACCGGCAGGGTTTAGTTCACAAAATTACAAGTTCGACTCCCTAGCAGGAGTGGCCTATCGGCCTTCTTGATTTGAAAGTGAAGGTATAAGTAGTTAAGTGTAGTCTCTATTCATGGCTACAAGCAGTGCTTATATATTATATCAGAACAATCGTCACGAAACCCGAAAATCATTAATGCTTCAGAATATGAACACCATTGGCAAGAATTGCAGCTATATATCTCTAACAACAGATGCAATGAACATGCAGAAACTTGTTGAGCATATAACCATTAATGTGCAATTAACTATCAGCTTAGACTTTTAATAGAGATGTAGCACATGCTTCAATTTGGTATCAGAGCCAGACCAAAACAGCCATATATGTCTGTGAAGAGATATATATGCAGAAGGGATTGAAAGAAGTGAAAAATTACCAGAAGAAAAGCATCTGGAGAGGGAGAGATTAGGCTTGGAGGAAGCTGCAGTGGAGAGTCTCAATGCATTGGCTGTGGAAGAAGCCCAGATTCTGAGAGCCATTGTTTTGCAGCTTTAACTTCACACTCTTATTATCCCTGCAGGGCTTAGTTTGAGGAGACAAAGGGATAGCTACAAGAATGAGAAGATTATAATGGGGATAAAGGGTGCAGGAAAATGGTGTCTCCCTATAAATATTTGTTGGGTTTTATTATCTTGGATGAATGGTGGAAAATGAAAGCCTCATCCCTTGGTGCGTTTGCACTTTGTGTAATTTGAATGATTCAAATTCTCTCATTTTTCCTTTGAGTTTGATTCTACTTAAGTATACACAAATTTGTGTAATGATGGTGTTAGTTTAGTAGGAGGTTAGGAATGAGTTAAGTGAGATGAACACCTACCATTAGTTTCTTCTAAGTTTGGGTTATTGTCAAACTTTTATTAATATCAAATTATACACTTCTTCGTATTAGATATTCATTGTAAATTCAAACTCTCAATATTCGTAGTAAAGATCGAACCCCACCTTATCTTTAGAGGTAAGTTTTGACTGAAATTCTCATTCACTAAACCGATACAATGAGGGAAGAAAAGGAAACAATAGCAAACGAATTAAATATTATAAAAATATGAGTCTCATAACACCCACAAAATATGTAGTCAACAATGGACGAAGTCTCTATGAAGGATCCTAAAAAGATGTCGTCTTAGGGATAGACAATTCCAGTCCGAACTTGATATGAACTCAATTTTATGCCCTAATAGAGAAGGGTCTGTTCTCAGACACCTATCAACACTAGTACCTTTTTATATCGGGTACAAACATGCATTATATATTTGTATATAAAGTTACAATGAATCACAAAAGTCTCTCTAAAGGGTCCTTCAAAAGATACTATTTCAGAGATAAGAAATCATGTATTGTGTGGGTCCATATAGCTGTGTAGATCACGGTCCAAGACAACGTCTTGAATTTTATGAGTTAAAATAATGTATTTTTTGTGTTAGAATGATGTACATTATGTATTAGAATAATGAAATTTCTAAGATAAGATAAGATAATATATTTTATGAATTATAAAATCGTATATTGCATTGAGTCGCGTGAATAAATTACGCGAAATCACGTCATTTTTGGATCTGTATGGACCACGGTCCACGCAATAACGGTTGAAGACACACAATCTAGAGCCAAAGAATGGGAGACCGGCCCAAGAGCGAAGAGCTCAAGTCATCAAGATAAGCAAAAACTGGGTAAAATTCTTGAGCCCAAGAGAAAGTTGGATTATAGCCCAACTCAAAATTTCAATCCGAAACCATTTTCGGATTTCAGAGCTGATCTTCTTGCAGCTTCGTCCAGGGAGGTAGAGAGCGAGAAAGAGAGGGAGAGAGAGAGAGACTTCTCTGAATTCAACAATGGGACGTGAAATCGAGCTTGATCTTGTTAGCGATGCGTTGGGGGAGGAGGAGAAGAAGAAGATGGTAGAAATCAATTTGAGAGTAATCGGCCCATCTCCACCGTCTCGCCTCCTCGTTCCTTCTTCCATCAAAGTAAAACTTGCTTCTCTCGTCGTAGCTTTCCCAATTACGCAACTTCTATCAAAATTATCGTGATTTTGTTTTCTGTAGTTCAATTTTTTCTGAAACATTATATGCGTATTTCCTTAATAACCTCTCATCTTTTTGTGCTGGGCTGCTTGTGTGGTGAGGAAAATACACAAAAGGAATGATCTTTTTCACATTTCTTAAAAAAATTGAGAATTTGTTGCTGGACTTAGATTCTAGGATGCAATTATAGTTGCAAACCCCATCCAAATTGGTTTAGGTTAGCTTTGTAACAACAAAGTTACAAGTTTGATCTGGCCTGTTAGTGATTTGAGCCGGTCAATTATGGGTCACAAGACGGGTTTCTCTTGTCACTCAAAAAAAATGTGCAGGTTAAGCTAATATGCTGCTAACTGTTAACTTTGCTAATAGAGAATTAGACTGTATTTGTATGAAATGGCATATGACATGGAAAGTTATTCTTCCTTCAATAATTGGGAATTGTATGGAACCTGTATCCAGTGACCTCGTTTGCCGTTAGAAGGAAAGTTTTCAAAATGTATATGATTTTGTGATATGAAAGAGATGTTAGACTATAGATATATGATATATCTAACATTTGGTATCAGAGCCCTTTATAATCTCTGACTAGTTGATTGTATTGCCAAAAATCAACATTAATTTCATATACATTGAGTTTTTGTATATGCTTTGGTTTCAAAAGTCTAATTTTTATGTGAATAATCGTTTAATCGGTATTGCTAGATTTCTCTCTGGTACGAAGTCCCGTGGGTATGCTACTCTTAATGTTCCTTGCTTCTTATTTTCATTTTTGGTTGTCTTGATGTGGGAATTTGATAAAAGGACTTTTTAACTGGTTGATAGTATTAGACTTGCCACTATTCTGCACCTTATTGATTTCTATCCTTAAAAACTTTCCAACTAAAAAAAAAAATCATTGTAATTCCAAATGATGTTGTGTGCTTTTAATATCCTTTTAATTGTGTCAATGACACACAGGTTCATGATTTGAGAAAAATGATTGCCAAAAATCGCCATTTACCTATTGAAGCTTTGAAGCTTGTTTTGCAAGGAAGAGTATTGCATGACACCCAAAATGGGGATGATCAAACAATTCAATTCAACAATGGAGGTCTGCGTTTTATCTGAATGCCTCAATTCATTTATTGAAGTTCTGTTATGCATCTTCTTCTTTTACTCAACGGGAGTTTGTAACTGATATTTTATGTTAGGTCAAATTGGTGTGTATCTTCACTATATTAGGATTAGAAGTCAAGCCTTATAGTGAAATATAAAAATCTATTAGTTTTTGTTTTAATTCAGGTTTCTACGCCACCCTTCATTGTCTCTTAAGCCTTAACCCTTATAAGCTATAATAACATGGTACTAAAGAAGCTTATGATGAAGTATTTTCCTCTTTCTTCAAACCTTTAAGGCTTCTACTTTGCGTTTTGATTGGTTCATCGGGGACCAGTTGCCTTTATGCAAGGTGTTTGTCATTTGCTTGTATACATTGGAGGTTTCTGATGATTTGATGTTACCTCTCAGTATGTCCACAGATATTTTGCATTTTTTTTCTTTGAATGTGATAAAATTAGTTCTTCATAAATCGCTACCTGTAATCTCATGCTTTTGTAGATTCTTTGATCATTGCTGTAAAACCAAAGTCTCCCCCCAAGCACATTCGGGATGAATTTGACGATGATGATGATGATCTGGTAATAACCAAATTTATGCACAAGACTTATTTATATTTCTGATATAAATACAAATTTTCAGATGCCTATTCGTTTTGCTTGTCTTCAGAAGTTTCATCTACCGCAATCAAGTAGTAGGTGGAAAATGAGGCTTTTCTCTATATTACGCGACAAATTGAAGCTTCCGGGTAACAGCCTTATCCTTTGCATTTACAGTTTTTTTCCTAAAAAGTACTCTCTTCTAATCTCTTTTTCCTTCTTGTAGATATGCTTTTGATGGCAATTTTCTCAATCAGTTGTAAAATGTGGGCTATTATTGTCATGTGGTTTATTCTGGCACCCGTTGCCCATAGATTTGGCATTGGACCATTATACGTAAGTATAGTTTGAAACTTTGAATTCCCGTCTCTATAAGAAAACAATCAATGCATAGTCTGCTCGGTATCTTTCTAATTCTACATCTCTATCCGCTGTGTTGACACCGACTATCCTAAATCTTTTTGGATAATGGAATTAAATTTTATGATATGTATAAAGTCGTCATAATCTTCACAGAGTTACCATCTTCTTGGCGTGGTCCGCTAGAATCTAATAGTCTTCAAGCAACTAGTCCCTATAGCTAGTAATTTCATCGCACATTTCTGATATCTGAGCTCCTGTTCTTCATTCCAACTGCAGGACACTCAACTCATATTTCACTGTATCATTGTATATATCTGCAGATACTCGGGACAGGATTTGGGATTATATTCTATAATCTTGGACATCGGCAGCAGGGGGAACTCAGGTAAATCTCAACATATATATATATATATATAAATAGGCTAGGCCTGAAGGCCGAGCCTGGTATATATAGGCCTGGCCTGTTTAGTTTAATAGGCTTTGAAATTGGCTCAAGCCTGGCCTTTTTACTAAATGAGCTAGGCCTAACTAGGCCTTAATTAGGCAAGGACATAGGCCCCTACAAGGGGCCTGGCCTATTGCCACCCCTACCTGACCCCGCCCCCACCCACCCCCAACCACACACACACAAGGTTGAAAAAATCGCTAGGCGCCTGGGGACTGCCTAGGGCGCCTAGGCGGAGGCCTAGAGCACCTAGGTGGCCGACCGCCTAGCGCCTAGGCGCGATTTTTGCAACACTGCACACACATTGCCAACTTCTTGACCTTATTGTTCTTCATCTCCGCAGTGCATACTCTATATTCAACGAGGATTTCAGAGAGCTTCCCGGAACTCTTAATGCTGACCACATCGACAGAGACATTCGAGCAGGTCGGCTCTGAGCTTCCATATTTTTCCCCGAGAAACAATCCCTCTCAGTGTTAGCTAGGCCCACGAAACCCGCAATGTATCATGTTGTATCTACATAGGTTGCAGCTGTGGGACTGTGGTCTTCCCCCTTGTACAGGAAACCAACCTGGACCATATAACTTCAATAGATGATAGCAAAATAGCATAAAGGGCCATTTATTAGGCCTGCAAATTTGTTCATTGCGTATGAAAGAGGGATTCATTTTGCCACTCCCTTCCAATTCCCCTTAAGGGCAGAGACACTGATGAGCCAGACTGATCTTTTCTTATCATGACATGAAAAGTCAAAATTTTTCTTGTTTTGGTGAGGAAAGCTGTGTGGGCTTTATTGTACTTTTGATCCATTTCTGGTTGGATAATTTGGAGTATTTATTCTGATAAGTAATGGTGAAATGATGGGTTGGGTTTCAGTACAGAATTTTTAAAAAAAAAATGTTGTTTTGTCCCCTTCTCTATTTGGCATGTTACTGCCATTCTAGACTAATCTATTTGGGGTCAAGGTTGTCTATTGCCTTTTAACCTTGGTACTAACCCACGTCGTTTCTATGTCAGATTGTATGGAATGATTTTCTCACGTTGTTTCTATGTCAGATTGTATGGAATGAT